ATATTTAAAAACAAAAACAAACAAAAAAAATTTAGAAATGTATATGAAGTTTGATTTAAAAATAGGGTTTCTCTCTCTCTTTTTTTTTTTTGGCAAGGTTAAAGTGAAATGAAAATGAAAATTAAGGAATAATAGAGGAGTATTAGAGGACTTTAAAAGGAAATAGGAGAGAAAAACAAGAAAAAGAAAAAAAAGAAAAAAAAAATTTTTTTTTCCCCTAATTAAAAAAATCGTAAAAATATATGAAAATGAAAGTTGAGGAGTAATGGGGGAGTAATAGGGAATTTTAAAAGAAAATAAAAGAGAAAAAATTAAAAAAAAAAAAAAGGATAGAAAAAAAAATTTTTTTTTTAAATTAAAAAAAATATATATATATATATATCTAGGAATTTCTCTGGAGTTGTTGCAGTCAGCGTAGGTTCAGTTCAATTTCAGATAGCTCCTCTTTCCAGCTTACACTTCTCGATATCTGTAGGCCCCTTCCGGTGTAGTCGGTGTTACCTTCAGGGATTTTAATCTGTTGCACCGGTCCTTTCTGAAGCGGTTCCCTTTGTTTATTTGGCTTCTGTTTGCCGTCTCTTCGGTGTCTAATTTCCGCCCTGACACAGGCGGGCGGAGGTGATCTCTTATTTAGGTTCTCTAGTTCAGTTCAGTCCCGCTACGGGGAGGGCGGGGCGCTGCAGACAGATACCACTCTGTGTGGATAGCACTCACCGTGTTCCAGCCACACTGGGTTTGCCCCGCTCACGGGTGTCAGTGCTTTTGCCGTCTACACTGCTCAGGCTCCCGGCTGCTCTATATGGAGCGGGCCCTGCATTGAGTGCGGTTCCAGTTTTCGGGTACTCCACAAAAGCGCAGATTCGGTTGCGCCTGCGTTTTGTGCCTTCCCCGGCCTGAGCGGTTCAGGCAGCCAGAGGCTTGGGCGTACTCTCCCTGGGTGCGGCGCGCCTTTTCCCTCCGCGGCGGGCAGCTCAGGCAGCCAGAGGCTTGGGCGCACTCTCCCCAGAGGTGGCGCGCCTTTTCCCTCCGCGGCGAGCGGCCCAGGCAGCCAGAGGCTTGGGCGCACTCTCTACCATTTAGCTTTAAAAATGGAGTGTTGTCAGTAACTTTGAAGGCTCCGCTGTGCCAATACCCAACTGTATCCCCTCCTCTTTCCCCATAGATAAAAACCATGTTACCCTTGTGTTTATCCTTCCCTCTCTTTATGATTTTAAATCATAGATATTCATCCCTAGCTATGTTTTATTTATTTCTGGATGCTTTTCAACTGTATATAAATTGAATTATCTTTTGCAACCTGTTTCTTTACTTTTCATTATTTTGAGAGATTTATCCATATTCATAACTATTCCTTCCTTCATTTTCACTTCGTTATAGTATTCCACTGTGTTAAAATGCCATAATTTATTTCTTTTTTATCCTGTTGATGCACATTTGCCTGGTTTTAGTGTTTTGATATTATGAATAGTTTTGCTCTGAACATTCTTGTACTTGTTCTCTGGAGCACACATCTAAGAGTTTCTTTTAAAGACAGTAGTTCTCAAGCTGTTTTGTGCACTGAAATCACCTGTGTGGCTTCTTTAAACAAATTCCTGGGGCCAACTCCATAGTTTCTAATTCAGTAACTCTAGAGTAGGCCTGATACCATAATTTCATTTCTAACAAGTTCCAGGTGTTACTGATGCTACTAGTCAGGAGACACTTTGAGACCCTCTGCTCCAGGATCCATATCCAGGAGTGGAATTGCTTCAACTTTACTACGTAATGTCAATTTTTTTACCAAAGTGATTGTGCCAATATACACTCTCAGTATAAAAGTTTCTATTGTGCCACATCTTCAATAATATTTAATTTTTAAAATTAATTTTTCTAATATGGTGGATCTTAAGTGATATTCTTACTGTGATTTAATTTACATTCCTGGATTTCTAATGAAATTGAGTTTCTTTTCTTCCATTCTAAACAAATTGATAGACTTTATCATTTTTAGAGAGTTTAGGTTCCTAGTAAAATTGAGCAGAAAGCAGAATTCTTACATATCCTCTCCCTTCAACACACGCACACACACACACACACACACACACACACACATACACACACAGCTTCCCTAAGTGGCAGTGTGGTACATTTCTTATGAGACGGACCAGTGGTGACATATTATGAGACAAAGTCCACAGTTTACATTAGAATTCATTCTTTGTGTTGTACATTCTATGCATATGTACTCAGTTGCTTCAGTCATGTCCAACTGTTTGTGACCCTGTGGACTATAGCCCCCCAGGCTCCTCTGTCCATGGGATTTCTCCAGGCAAGAATACTGGAATGACTTGCCATGCCCTCCTTCAGGGGATCTTCCTGACCCAGGGGTCGAACCTGCATCTCCCACATCTCCTGCAGTACAGGTAGATTTTTTACCACTAATGCTACCTGGGAAGCCTTGTATGTTCTATGGGTTTTGATGAGAATAGCAAGGAAAGACAAGAAAACCTCCCTCAGTGATCAATGCAAAAAAATAGAGGAAAACAATAGAATGGGAAAGACTAGAGATCTCTTCAAGAAAATTCGAGATACCAACAGAACCTTTCATGCAAAGATGAGCACAATAAAGGACAGAAATGGTATGGCCCTAACAGAAGCAGAAGATATTAAGAAGAGGTGGAAACAGTACACAAAGAACTATACAAAAAAGATCTTCATGACTCAGATAACCACGATGGTGTGATCACTCACCTAGAGACAGACATCCTGGAATATGAAGTCAAGTGGGCCTCAGGAAGCATCACTATGAACAAAGCTAGTGGAGGTAATGAAATTCCAGTTGAGTTATTTCAGATCCTAAAAGATGATGCTGTGAAAGTGCTGCACACAATATGCTAGCAAATCTGTAAAACTCAGCAGTGGCCATAGGACTGGAAAAGGCCAGTTTTCATTCCAATCCCAAAGTAAAGCAATGCCAAAGAATGCTCAAACTACCGCACAATTGCACTCATCTCACACGCTAGCAAAGTAATGCTTAAAATTCTCCAAGCTAGGCTTCAACTGTACGTGAATCATGAACTTCTAGATGTTCAAACTGGATTTAGAAAAGGCAGAGGAACCAGAGATCAAATTGTCAACATCCGTTGGATCATCGAAAAAGCAAGAGAGTTCCAGACAAACATCTAGTTTTGCTTTATTGACTATGCCAAAGCCTTTGACTGTGTGAATTACAACAAACTGGAAAATTCTTCAAGACATGGGAATACCAAACCCCCTGACCTGCCTCCTGAGAAATCTGTATGCAGGTCAAGAAGCAACAGTTAGAATGGACATGGAACAACAGACTAGTTCCAAATAGTGAAAGGAGTCCATCAAGGCTACATATTGTTACCTGGCTTATTTAACTTATATGCAGAGTACATCATGCAAAATGCCAGGCTGGATGAAGCACAAGTTGAAATCAAGATTGCCGGGAGAAATACCAATAACCTCAGATATGCAGACACCACCCTTATGGCAGAAAGCGAAGAAGAACTAAAGAGCCTCTTGATGAAAGTAATAGAGGAGAGTGAAAAAGTTTGCTTAAAACTCAAAATTCAGAAAACTAAGATCATGGCATCTAGTCCCATCACTTCATGGCAAATAGGTGAGGAAACAATGGAAATGGTGAGAGACTTTATTTTGGGGGACTCCACAACCACTGCAGATGGTGACTACAGCCATGAAATTAAAAGACGCTCGCGACCAATGATGATGGTCGTTTCGGGAAGAGTCCTAAACGATGAAAACGTGGCTAGATCTCTGAGGTCTACGATACAGAAATAAGTAATGTTTTCCCTTGAATGAGAAACTGTTTCTTTTGTGAGACTTCAGGAATATAAAGAGATCATATTCTTGTATTAAAGTGTTAAAGTAAGAATAATTCTGTATATATCATCTTTTTTAAAATTGTGCTGATAAAATTATTAGTGAATTTGTGATTCATAAATTAAACAGAAATGTATTTGAATAAGAAAAAAAAAATAAATAAAAGACGCTCGCTCCTTGGAAGGAAAGTTATGACCAACCTAGACAGTATATTAAAAAGCAGAGACATTACTTTGCCAACAAAGGTCCGTCTAGTCAAAGCTATGGTTTTTCCAATAGTCAGATATGGATGTGAGCATTGGACTATAAAGAAAGTTGAGTGCCAAAGAATTGATGCTTTTGAACTGTGGTGTTGGAGAAGACTCTTGAGAGTCCCTTGGACAGCAAGGAGAGCCAACCAGTCCATCCTAAAGGAAATCAACCCTGAATATTCATTGGAAGGACTGATTCTGAAGCTTAAGCTCCAATACTTCGGCCCCCTGATGCAAAGAACTGACTCATTGGAAAAGACCCTGATGCTGGGAAAGATTGAAGGCAGGAGGAGAAGGGGATGACAGAGGAAGAGATGGTTGGATGGCATCGCCAACGCAATAGACACGAGTTTGAGTAGGCTCCAGGAGTTGGTGATGGACAGGGAGGCCTGGTGTGCTGCAGGCCATGGGGTCGCAAAGAGTCAGACACAACTGAACTAAACTGAATTGATACTCACTCCAATATTCTTGCCTGGAGAATCTCATGAACAGAGGAGCCTGGTGGGTTACATTCCATAGGGTTGCAAAGAGTTGGACATAACTGAAGAAACTTAGCGTGTGCTCACACCTGGGTATGTGCCCATAAGTGGGATTGCCGAGTCATATGGCAAAGCTATTTTTAGATTTTTAAGGAACCTCCATGCCATTCTCCATAGTGGCTGTACCAATTTACATTCCCACCAACAGTGTAGGAGGGTTCCTTTTTATCTACATCCTTTCCAGGATTTATTGTCTGTAGATTTTTTGATACTGAGTCTAATGAAAGAAAACAATCATCTTGAAAACACATAGCTTTTCTTAGCTTACACTTTATAAAAGAAAATAACAGGTAATTTTATAGTCCTTTATGAATAATGATTTTATAAAATAATTAAACATCTGAATATGTTTTCTTATTTACAGCTTACCAGGACATGATTGTAACTTCTCAAGTTTATCTAAAATAAAAGATAATATATATATCAACATTTTTGATGAAATGATTATTGAAAACCATGAGGTAAAGTAGAATAATTATAATAATGTTGAAATAATTCTAGGTTCAGACTGAATGAAGTCTGTGAATATATTTGTTAATTTGCTTTTAGATGCAGTGCCTATTTACAACATTTTCTAAAAAGGATATGGAGCAACATGAAATAAAATCAGACATGTGACAAGTCAGTTCAAAAATAACAGAGATCATAAACCACACATAGGAAGAGGAGGGATAAATATACCAAGAATTTGGGGAAACTAGGTTTCTGCAATTGAACATTATATCTACGTGTGAACTTCCCGGTAGCCAAGCTTTAGCATATTTTCAAGGTTTGCTGCACTAAACACATTTGCTATGGTATATACTATGATATATACTTAAGTATATACTGTGGTAAAAGTATGTACATTAAGGTGCTTCACATTGTTTACTGAGATGTAGGAAGATCTCAAAAGCAGTGGCTATGAACTGAAGACAGGAATCAGGGGTACTGGTAGCTTTTTTCAAACTTCAGCCCTTCCCCAGATTCAAGTAAACAGCAGCAACACACCCAGGGCTTAGAAACTGAATACCATGTTTCCTAGTTGGCATGTGATCACTAGACTCTCAATATTGTCTGTTATGACCCTGAACTCCCTGGCATTTGTTGTTCTTAGAAGAAAACAGATCAGATTAAAATGGGAGCCAGAATATATCGCATTTTCTTTTGCAAGGTTTTTACATTTCTAAACTGGACTGTCTGTAAGAGGACCGTTTGATGAATTTTCTTAGTTAAGAAATGGCCCAGGTTAACCTTTGTTGTGGTGGTTGTTCAGTCAATAAGTTGTGTCCGACTCTTTGTGACCCCATGGACTCCAGAACACCAGGCTCCCCTGTCCTTCGCTATTTCCCAGAGTTTGTTCAGATTCATGTCCATTGAGCTGGTGATGCTATTTAATAGCTATTAAATGCTATTTAATGGTGATGCCATTATTTCTTGGCAGTAAGCCAACATGATCCATAATTATGGCAGCAAGGGAAAGGTGGTTGATGGAAAAGAACAAAATGAAGCAAAAAGCAAGACAGTATATGGGGAAAACCACAATGAATTGTCCTTTTTGTCTCCCTTCTTTTTTCCTAGCTCCTTACTTCAGCCCAGGTTAATAGTGTAAAACTTTAATATTAACAGAAAATTTGAATTTATGGATTTAAAAGAAATCACATTAATATAAATAATTTAAGATCTTATTCTTATTCTACCTTCTACTCACAAAACCTCCACCAGTCCCTTGCAAAATTTTCTGGAAGCCTCCAAGGAGTCCTCATATATGTGCTTAGACATGACTGTTAGCTATAGTCGTCAGTATGTGTGTCCTTTTGCCTCAGCCCCCAAAGCTCTCAAAGCCACCTAAAAGAATCTCACCACCACCACTATTGACATTGCCCCAATTATGATGCCACCATCTGTGCCAAGGGTGTTATCCCCCCAGTTATCCTTGAGCCCAAAGCTATCAAACTTCAGAATACTCAAGAGGCACTGGATTCTGTACAAGCATGGGCAGAACGGGCCTATTTTCTCTGAATCCATACCACATATTGTGTATCTAGACTATAAAGCAATAGTGTTTGTACACAAAATCTCACAGTAGAAGAGCTTCTTCAGCCACTGACCCTAATCATCAGGGGCCAAACCAAGGACAAGGGACGTAGTGGGGTTCAGCATGCACCAACCCTTTCCATGTCTTCATTGTCCTTTCGGTTCTTCTTGATTCCTAAACTCAACCCAACTGCTCTCATCTTCCCTAATTACAAGTAAAAATCAGTGGATATAAGTATATACTAGTACTATGGAGCAGTTTGTTGCCTATGCCAGTCTTAACTCAAACAAGCAACATGCCTATCCCAAGAACTATTCTCTAACACCTTTCCCATATTCCCCCTATCTCAATGCTTTGGCTGATGAGATGAAAAACGTAAATGGCTAAAAGTGAAGTGAATTACAGAGTAAATGCCAGTGGGGTTAGTGGTGTTGGTGGTAAATGCCAAATCCTTTTTTGCCCAATATCCCACTACACATGCTTTCTCTAATTTTTAAAAATAGTATTATTGAAGAGTAGTTGGCATACAGTAAGCTGCACATAAAGTGTGTATTTTGACAAATTTTGACATATATGTATATATATACACATGAAACCATTATCAAAGTCAAGACAATGAATATATGCATCACTCTCAAAGTTTTTCCTCTATCCTGTTAGAATACCTCCATCCTTCCCTTCCTTCCTCCCACCCCAGGAAATGATTCATCTGCTTTCAGTAACTATACTTTATATTTTCTGGAATTTTACAGAAATGGTACCATACAGTTTTCACTCTTTTTTCCTTGATCTGGCAATTTTCATTTGGGGGGGAAAATTATTTTTAGATTTGTTTATGTTGTGTTATTTATCAAATAGTTCATTACTTTTTATTGTGTAGTCATAGTCTGTTGAAAACACACATTGTATTGTATGTTTAAATATTCACCTGTTGATGGACAGGTGGGTTTTCTTTGGCAGGGGTGGAGGGGATATTATAAATAAAACTACTATGAGGATTTGTGTAGAAGTATTATATACAAATGCTTTAATTTTGGGGGGAGTAAATACATAGGAGTGAAATGACTGGATCATATGATAAGTGGACATTTAAGAAATAAACTGTTTTTTCAAAGTGATTTACCATTTTTTATTTCCACCAGCACTGTTAGAGACTTCTAGTTCTTTCACATTCTTACAAGCATGTAGTAAGACTTCAAAATTTTAGCCATTCTAACAAGCCTGTGGTTGTATCTCATTGTAGTTTTGATTTGTGTCTCCTAATGACTAATGATGTTGAATGGCTTCTCTGTGGTTCCGATGGTAAAGAATCTGCCTGCAATGCAGGAGACCTGGGTTTGATCTCTGGGTTGGGGAGATCCCCTGGAGAAGGGAATGGGAACCCATTCTAGTATTCTTGCCTGGAAAATTCCATAGACAAAGGAGTCACAAACAGTCAGACACGATTGAGCAACTAACAACACACAATGATGTTGAGCATTTTCAATGAATTGCTCTTGGTGTCATGTTTTTTAGCTCTGTTTTTATACCTCTTTATTAGTTACAGGGCTTCCCAGGTGGCGCTAGGGGTAAAGAACCTGCCTGCTAATGCAGGAGACGTAAGAGACTCAAGTTCCATCCCTTGGTAGAGAAGATCCCCTGGAGGAGGGCATAGTAACCCACTGCACTATTCTTGCCTGGAGAATCGTCACGGACACGGGGGCCTGGAGGGCTACAGTCCATTGGATCACACAGAGTCAGACACGACTGAAGCAACTTAGCACACACACACACACTGTTAAGATTATATTCTTTCTTCATGAATTGATTCCTCTATTATTATGAAATATTCCTCTTTATCCCTGGTTACATTTCTTAATTCTTTTTTTTTCTTTTTTTAAATTTTTTTCATTTATTTTTATTAGTTGGAGGCTAATTACTTTACAATATTGTAGTGGTTTTTGTCATACATTGACATGAATCAGCCATGGATTTACATGTATTCCCCATCCTGATCCCCCCTCCCATCTCCCTCTCTACCTGATCCCTCTGGGTCTTTCCAGCGCACCAGGCCCGAGCACTTGTCTCATTTACCAACCTGAGCTGGTGATCTGTTTCACCATAGATAATATACATGTTTCGATGCTGTTCTCTCAAAACATCCCACCCTCGCCTTCTCCCACAGAGTCCAAAAGTCTGTTCTGTACATCTGTGTCTCTTTTTCTGTTTTGCATATAGGGTTATCATTACCATCTTTCTAAATTCCATATATATGTGTTAGTATGCTGTAATGTTCTTTATCTTTCTGGCTTACTTCACTCTGTATAATGGGCTCCAGTTTCATCCACCTCATTAGAACTGATTCAAATGAATTCTTTTTAATGGCTGAGTAATATTCCATGGTGTATATGTACCACAGCTTCCTTATCCATTCATCTGCTGATGGGCATCTAGGTTGCTTCCATGTCCTGGCTATTATAAACAGTGCTGCGATGAACATTGGGGTGCAAGTGTCTCTTTCAGATCTGGTTTCCTCAGTGTGTATGCCCAGAAGTGGGATTGCTGGGTTATATGGCAGTTCTATTTCCAGTTTTTAAAGAAATCTCCACACTGTTCTCCATAGTGGCTATACTAGTTTGCATTCCCACCAACAGTGTAAGAGGGTTCCCTTTTCTCCACACCCTCTCCAGCATTTATTGCTTGTAGACTTTTGGATAGCAGCCATCCTGACTGGCGTGTAATGGTACCTCACTGTGGTTTTGATTTGCATTTGTCTGATAATGAGTGATGTTGAGCATCTTTTCATGTGTTTGTTAGCCATCTGTATGTCTTCTTTGGAGAAATGTCTGTTTAGTTCTTTGGCCCATTTTTTGATTGGGTCATTTATTTTACTGGAATTGAGCTGCAGGAGTTGCTTGCCTATTTTTGAGATTAATCCTTTGTCTGTTGCTTCGTTTGCTATTATTTTCTCCCAATCTGAGGGCTGTCTTTTCACCTTGCTTATAGTTTCCTTTATTGTGCAAAAGCTTTTAAGTTTCATTAGGTCCCATTTGTTTATTTTTGCTTTTATTTCCAATATTCTGGGAGGTGGGTCATAGAGGATCCTGCTGTGATTTATGTTGGAGAGTGATTTGCCTATGTTCTCCTCTAGGAGTTTTATAGTTTCTGGTCTTACATTTAGATCTTTAATCCATTTTGAGTTTAATTTTGTGTATGGTGTTAGAAAGTGTTCTAGTTTCATTCTTTTCCAAGTGGTTGACCAGTTTTCCCAGCACAACTTGTTAAAGAGGTTGTCTTTTTTCCATTGGATATCCTTGCCTCCTTTGTTGAAGATAAGGTGTCCATAGGTTCGTGGATTTATCTCTGGGCTTTCTATTCTGTTCCATTGATCTATATTTCTGTCTTTGTGCCAGTACCATACTGTCTTGATGACTGAGGCTTTGTAGCATAGTCTGAAGTCAGGCAGGTTGATTCCTCCAGTTCATTCTTCTTTCTCAAGATTGCTTTGGCTATTCGAGGTTTTTTGTATTTCCATACAACATTTCTTAATTCTTAAATCTACTTTGTATGTTATAGTCATTTCAGCTTTCTTTTCATTGGTGTTTGTATGTACGGTGTATCTTTTTCTTTCTTTTCTTCTTATTTTTTCTTTTAACCTGTGTCTTTATATGTAAAATGAGTTTACTTTAGACAGTGTATAGTTGGGTCTTCCTTTTTTATTCAGTTGTAGCAATCTCTGTCTTTTAATAAATGGGTATTTATGTTTTATATAATTACTGACTTGGCTGGGTTCCATCTTCCTGTTTGCTTTCTGCTTATCCAATCTGTTTTTTGTTCTTTTTTTCTTCCTTTTTTTGGATTAATAAAGTACTTTTATGATTCTACTTTATTTTCACTATTGGCTTATTAGCTGTACTTCTTTTATTTCTTAATTGTTGTTCTAGGCTTTATTATATATTGTTGCACTTATCACAGTCTGTAATATTATGCCACTCCACATATAGTGTAAGAACAGGATATTATTACACTTCCATTTCTACTCCTATGCTTTGTGTTAATGTTATTTTATCATATATTTTGCTTTTACATATGTCATAAACTCTGCAGCAGGTAATTATTATTGCTTTAAATAGTCAATTTTAAAGAAATTTTTGAAAGTGAGAAAAAAATTTTCTGTTTACTCTTTGGTTTCTTTTTAAAATGAAAGAGAATTTATTATACTTACCTGCAAGTTTGTGTGAAATTATTCATCACATGATGTAGAATAGTAATAGAAATCTTATTTATTTTAATAGGATCGCTGTTTCAAGAGCTGCAGTGGTCATTCATATATAAGAAAGAATTGGCTTGGATCCATTGTCTTCCCTTTCTCTGCTCTCCTACAACAATCTGAGGTAACAGAAAATGATTCTTTGCTAATTCTAAATTTTTGTCTCTGGCTAATAGAAACACTTACTGTTGTTTTTGAGTCAGATTTTGATTGGCAGGTTAAGTCAGTTGAAATGATCCTGTATGCAAGTGCCTCTTAGGTGTTGGAGTATTTGAAGATTTTAGCCGTCTCTAGGAGATAACCACAAATTTATTTCATGTATTTTTAGTGTTCATTGATGAAGAAAAGGACAGCTAACCATAGGTCTTAAAGCAACATTCATATGTGTTTATAATAGTTATGTAATTAAAGATTGATACATTTTCTGAATAATGACATTGCTTCCTAACCATGGGTTCCATGATTCTGTGCAATCACAGCATGTCATGAGGGAGCGCGTTACAAATACAAGTGCTGCAAATAAAGAGCAATGGAGATTTTAAATTGTTGGAGGTATAGGGCTTCCTGTTATAAATTCCTGCAGTTACTTCTCAGTCTCAGGCCAGATGCTAGGATAGAGAAGTAGTTAAGAAGGTGAGCTTCAAAGGCAGACTCATCTGCATTGTAATCCTGGCTCGACTACTCATGGGTTGTGTGACCTGTCACAAATTCCTCACATGCTCTGAGCTCATTTCCTTATCTATAAAATGGAGATTAGTGGTGTCTACCTCATTGAATAATGTAATCTATGTCAAGCACTTGGAAGAATGCCTTATACATAGTAGGTGCTCAATAACTATTAATATTAGTTATGTTATTATTAGTAGTAGTTATTATTTTAAGTTATCTTCTCACACACACACACACACGGTCCCTCCTCCAGTGGACTTTGGGTCATCTCTCCTTCTGTTCCATTTTTTTTCTCTTTCCAGGACCAGTGCAAAATGTAACATGGTCTTTTAGCATTTTTCTCTGAGCTTAAATTCGATTCTCTAAGAGTTTCTATCACCCTGGTACATTAACTTGCTTCCTCATTTCATCCCTTTCTTACTTCTGCCTTTTCCACATACTACGTATTAGAGAGGGACCCAGGGTGTCAAGGTTGCTTGTGAGCAGATCATCATGAAAAACTTTATCATTCTTTGCAAGTCCCCATTAGTCAAATCAGCATGAACCCATGCAAGCCTATTTCCTGCAATGGAGAAGACTGAACTGAGCTATCTTTGACTGATGTTTATTTTCATCATGCAGAATCCATTCTGTTCATATACTCTTTCAGATTAGTGGAACATTTCAAGTAAATATTCCACCTGTTTTGCTTGGGTATACTTGGAGTAAGACTTACGTGTCTCCTAAAGAAGATTATAATGGACAGAATTTAAAAGAATGTACCTTCTTAAATATTTTTGCTACTATTGAACCTCAAATATCATATACCATCTGTAGTCCAGAACTAGACAAGGTAGGCTTTCCACTGAATTATTTTCAGGTATACTATCAAAGGAGTGTTAATTTCAAAGTTGACAAAAATGAATGTTGGTTCTTGATATTTTCCTGTGGGAACAATATGGTAGCAAGTTGAAATATTTTAAACTTGATTCTAGTTTTCAGATCAAATAGATGTTTTGGAGAGAGCATGGATTTTTACAAAAAATTGTAAGGCATTATTTCCTAAACGAAGAATCATCACTACTGTTTTTAATGATGAAGGGATACAGATCTTAGTAATAAGATACATCAAGGCATTGAATCCACCTCAGCAACTCCTGGATATGTTTCTTCATTATTCTAATGCGACACTTGTAAGTGATATTTATGTTAGTAACTTTATTGAGATATTCACATACCATATAATTTGCCCTTCTAAAGTATATAATTCAGTGGTTTTTAATATATACACCAAGTTGTGCAGCCATCACCACAGTAAATTTTAGAACATTTTGATCACTCTCAATTTATATTTAACTGGTTTACTTTTTAACATTAACTTTGAGTAAAACTTTCTTATTAAAATTGCTTTATCTTCAGAGACAGTTTCCTGAGAGAGATGCCATCTGTGTTACAATGTGTGCTCCTTAGTGTATGGTGGAAGAAAACCTTTCCTCCTGTTGCCCTTCCCTCTGCCCACTTATACTGAAGGTCACTGTTGCCACATCACTTTCATGTGACCATACCAACTTCGTAATCTTTCTGTCATACTCTGAAAAGTGACACAGAAAGATTCCTTTGATTTTCAGGCAGAATTGAAAGTTGTATTTCTAAAGAGATGGTGTCCTTCTAAGGATTGCTTCTTGTTGTAAAGAGGCTTTTGCTCTCTTTATCTTTTATCTATGTTATCTTTTGCTCTATAAACTGCCAACATAACACTTCTCACCTTATGTGGCTTTATGCATATCTGTTATTTACCAGCTGACAAAAGAGACATGTACAGGCATTCATTATGAACTCAGAAGAGGAGATAGCTTCTTCCACTTTGAGAAAGGAAAATGTGAAATCAGAAATCTAGTCTCCCCTTTAAGGAAAAAAAAAGCTTTGATTAAAGGACACCTGTGAAAAATCACTTATACCTTTTATTTATTCAGGCCTGATTGACTCAATTGGCTCTCCTTAGAATACTTATATTCTTCTTCCAGTATGAAGCTCTAACCTGAATTTTTTAAGCTAAAACCAAAAGTGCTAATTTAGATCACATTTTACTACACTCTGCTTTTGGGTTTCTTCTTGCCTGTTTCCTGATACCAAAAGTCCAAGGAGATAATAATGTTCTCAGATTTCTTTTAAAGACAATCTTTTTCTTTTTAAAAAAGAAGTCTAAATCCTAGCTCTTTTGCTTATCAGGAATTGTGAGCCATGTTTAATTAACTGCATGAAGTCAGAAACATGATTAGTGTGGGAGGTCATAGATGGCAGCTACTGTAAATCAGTGAAAATGTTGGTGAACTTTCTGTGTTAACTCTAATCTGAGTCCTTATCTCCTGTCCTATAGGGGTAGCAATCCGCAACAGAAGTTCTGTTGTTTGTAAAAATAGGCTGCACCAATATCTTCTTGCTGCAGCAACTTATAACTGGATTTTATTAATAAAAATAATTCTGATGGATTTTGAACCTAAAAGAAAATAAAACTTTTGCTACTCTTCTACACATTTTTTCAATTTTCTTAAACAGTTGTATTTTAAAGTATACATGTAATGTATCACATTTAAATTTTTAATTTATTACAGTAAAATGTAATGATTAATACCCACGGTCTGGAGTCATGCTAACGAGCTTATTCCCAGAGACCCATATGTTGTGTTAGTGTGTAACCCATATATTGTTAGTGTGTTAGTGTGTGTGTTAGAATGGGCAGGTTATCTTAGCACTCTAAGCTTGTTCCTTCTTTTGTAAAATAAAATTAATAATAGTATGTATTTCAAAGGCTTGTAGGATATACTAAATTTGGTGATAATGCATGTAAAGCACTGTGCTTGGTGATGGGCATATAGTATGCTCTTAATAAATCTTAGTTAATATTATTTTAGGACCTTGTTGCTCACTTTGTATCTTTGATTCCTGTTATGCCTGATGCACTGGATGAAAATGATGGTTTTAATATATGGATGACATCAGAGGTAACCAATTACAATTTACAATTTAAATGATTCATGTTTGCTTTTCTTTTAAAGAAACATTTCAAAAATATTATGCACTTATGTAGTAGCTTTCCTTATGCAATTTGAAGACATTTGATAATTTAATACACTGTTTTCATTCAGCTCTATAACAACCCATAGAAATAATTCTTAAAGACCAAAAATCTTGTTCAACTCTTTAAGTAGCTCATAATATTCAGATTCAGCAGGAATTCCAGGAGTACAATATTATGACATTCTCCAGAGAGAAATATGAAATATGCCTTGTTCACTATAGAGGTGGTTAGACCCTGAAGTCTAGGGGAAATACCACCACTTCCCAGAAGCCTTCCCCAGCTTTCCCATATCTGAATGAAGGGCTTCCTTGGCACTTGGATTAAAATTGTCTTTAGACTGGTTGCCATGTAATATTTAGGATATATTTGAACTAAAAACTATTTATTTGAAATTTAAATTGCTTTAGGCATCCCATCCCTCCCCCTAAAAATCTGGCAATCCTAATTAGAACACTTTTTCCATTTCACCTTAAATTATATTTAGTTGATTATACACTGGCCCTATACCCATACACTATACATATACATCCCAAGTTTAATCTCCTTGAATGAAAAGGCAAATTTGCACTTATCTAGAATGTTTAGTCAAGGCTATGGTTTTTCCAGTAGTCATGTATGGATGTGAGAGTTGGATGGTGAAGAAAACTGAGGACAGAAGAATTGATGCTTTTGAACTGTGGTGTTGGAAAAGACTCTTGAGAGTCCCTTGGACTGCAAGGAGATCCAACCAGTCCATCTTAAAGGAGATCAGTCCTGGGTGTTCATTGGAGGGACTGATGTTGAAGCTGAAACTCCAATACTTTGGCCACCTCATGCGAAGAGTTGAGTCATTGGAAAAGACCTTGATGCTGGGAGGGATCGGGGGCGGGAGGAGAAGGGGATGACAGAGGATGAGATGGCTGGATGGCATCACCAACTCGATGGACACGAGTTTGAGTAAACTCCGGGAGTTGGTGATGGACAGGGAGGCCTGGCATGCTGCGATTCACGGGGTCACCAAGAGTCAGACACGACTGAGCAACTGAACTGAACTGAACTGAGAGTGTTGAGAGGCTGGATTTGAGCTGAAATGGATTTAGAGAGCACAGGACTAATTTATTAGGTCAATCACCTGCCTTCTGCTAAATGAAAGTGAGAGGAACACCAGCCGTGGTTTGGACCCAGTGACTCAAATCCGGTACGACTCAGAGGTGTCTGTTAACTCCAGACTCTTCTGAGACTCTTCAGACTAATCAGAATGTGTTACAGTCCTGCAGAACATTGAAAAGATAGCCTCTAAAGTAGCTAAAAATAACTAAAAATAACCATTCTGGTAAATACCAGTGCTTCCAAGTGCCCTCCAAGCCAAACAGTACTCATAATCAACAGGTCCCCACCGGCATAGGCTTCCTCTTGGCTGGTGTCTTCCCATTGCCATGAACTCTGGACTGGGGATGTCCCTGAGTGAATGACTGATTAAATCGTCGCAGGAGTTATTTTCTCTGCCCAACATACAGCCTTTGAACAAACCTTGGTTCAAATCCTACTTCAACCACCTGGTAGCTGTGTGACTTAAGTTGTTCAGCTCCATGGGACCTCACTTTCCTCATCTGTGTCATACAGGGGTTTTGAAAGGATAGGCAGCTGGAACACAGTATGTTAGTTACGTTGTTGTTCAGTTGCTAAGTCGTGTCCGACTCTTTGCAATCCCCTGGACTGCGGCAGCCAGGTGTCTCTGTCCTTCACTATCTCCTGAGTTTGCTCAGATTCATGTCTTTTGAGCTGTGATGCTATCATGCTGTCTAACTACCTCATCCTCTGCCGCTGTCTTCTCTTTTTGCCTTCTGTCTTTCCCAGCGTCAGAGTCTTTTCCAATGTTAGTTACGTACTCTCATTCATTCCCTCCTTCTCTTATGAGATGCTGTCAGGGGATCCTCCTTGGTCTGATATTGAAGACTACTTATGTTCTGCTCCTCATTCTCCTGTTCATCACATGTATCTTTCAGAAGAGCCGTGTTACCATTCTTCCTAACCTCTATCCCTCACCATCACATCCAGCCAGTGTGTACTGATGTGGCCACATCTGTTGTTAAACCATTGAAACACTTCCGGACTGACTGGTAAATAGTCACTCTGAGAGGTCCTGAGCTCCCCCTCCCCAGGCTCCCTGGCCACCACAGCCCTTTCTCTATGACTAATGAAGTGGAAGCATGTGTCCAGCCTAAAGGGTGCAGCCGAGTCTGCATGGTAGAGCTGCTACTCAGCAGCAACACATTATTGCCATATGAACATTTGGGCCCATATATTTTGTTAGATCCTTTGATTCTTCAAGAGAATCCAGAAATCCAGAGTTGTATGTGTGATCTTCCAATTTTTAAAAGCATTTTGGGGCCAAGCAAAATACACCTATAGACTGGAGCTAAATCATAAGCCACTGGTCTGCCACCTCTGCTGTGCTTTTTCTGTCCTGCTACAACTGCCTTACTAGGCACTCTGCATTTGGTTACACCCACCCCTGCTGTTCAGGTCTTTCAGTTAAGGAAGTTTCCATCACTTTTCTTGATTGGGCTCCAACTCAGATCTCTTCTTCTAAGTTGAGAGCACTACATTGGTACAGGGCAGAGAGTGACTCCATTGACCAAAGGATCCTTTCCTCCAAAAACAGGTGTGATTTCCTATCAGATGAAGTTCCTTAAAATATTAGCCAATTTTGTTATTCAGTCACTGAGTCATGTTCAACTCTTTGTGACCAAAGAGTTGCAGCACGCCAGACTGCAGCACGCCAGGCTTCCCTGTCCATCACCATCTCCTGGAGTTTGCTTAAACTCATGTCCATTGAGTCAGTGATGCCATCCAACCATCTCATCCTCTTTTGTCCCCTTCTCCTCCTGACTTCAATCTTTCCCAGCATCAGGGTGTTTTCAAATGAGTCAGCTCTTCACATCAGGTGGCCAAAGTATTGGAGTTTCAGCTTCAGAATCAGTCCTTCCAATGAATATTCAGGGTTGATTTCCTTTAGGATTGACTGGTTTGATCTCCTTGCTGTCCACGGGACTCTCAAGAGTCTTCTCCAACACCACAGTTCAAAAGCATTTATTCTTTGGTGCTCAGCCCTGTTTTGCCAGGATATTTGTCCCCCCAAAAAATCTGCCTCATTTTGGATGATAAAATTATTGGATCACCCAGTATCCTTATGTTCCAGGCTAATGTTCTCTCTTTCTAATGCCCTAATGTTTTAGGCTTTGCAGTCATCTTAGTGACCTGGCAGAAATGTGTGTGTAAGGGTGTGGAGGGGCCTTGAATCTGTTGGATGCTTGCACTACTCAACTCTCTCTCCTCCCCTCCCTTCCTTTTTTTTTTTTTTTTTGTCCTTGTTGCTTTTGTTTCACCTTAGTGCTGCATCAGTTTGGCTATTGGAAATAAGGAGGAGCATGCCATACTTCTGTGTAATTTCTTCCTGTATTTTGGAAAGAAAGCTTTGGTCCTTCTAGGAACCTCGGTGTTGGAAGTAAGTGTTGGACTTAATATTTAAATAGTGTAAACAAAACTTTCAGTTGCAAGTTTTAAAGACTTCAACTCCAGGTTTCCATTTTTTCACAAATTAATTAGGAAATTTCATGGGCAAACAAATATTTACTTAGGGGAATAATGTTGCTTCATCAACATTTCCACAATGTAAAGAATGACTTCCTTTTGTTTTTCTTCTTTGGAAAGTAGTACAGATAATAGTGTTACTTCATGGCAGCAATTTGGAAAACTCAGCAATGACCACAGGACTGGAAAAGGTCCATTTTCATTCCAATCCCAAAGAGGGACAATGCCAAAGAATGTTCAAACCAATGTAAAATTGTGCTCATTTCACATGATAGCAAGGTTATGCTCAAAAGCCTTCAAGGTAGGCTTCAGCATTATGTGAACTGAGAACTTCCAAATGTAAAAGCTAGGTTTCAGAGAGGCAGAGGAACCAGAGATCAAATTGCCAACATTTGTTGGATCATGGAGAAAGCAAGGGAGCTCCAGGAAAACATCTACTTTGCTTCATTGGCTATGCTAAAGCCTTTGCCTGTGTGGATCACAGTAAAATGTGGTAAATTCTTAAAGAGATGGGAATACCAGACCACCGTACCTGTTTCCTGAGAAACCTGTATGCGGGTCAAGAACCAGCATTAGAATGGGACATGGAACAACTGACTGGTACAAAACTGGGAAAGAAATATAACATGGCCGTATGTTATCCCCCTGCTTATTTAACTTCTGTGCGTGAGTACATCATGTAACATGCTGGACTGAATGAATCACAGGCTGGATTCAAGATTACTGGGAGAAATATCAACAACCTCAGATATGCAGATGATGCCACTCTAATGGCAGAAAGTGAAGAGGAACTAAAGAGCCTCTTAATGAGGGTGAAAGAGAAGAGTGAAAAAGCTGACCTGAAACTCAGTGTTAAAAAACTAAGATCATGGCATCCAGACCCATTACTTCATGGCAAATAGATGGGAAAAAAGTGGAAGCAGTGACAGATTTTCTTCCTTGGGCTCCAAAATCATTGTGGACAGTGACTGCAGCCATGAAATTAAAAGATGCTTGCTCTTTGGAAGGAAAGCTACGACAGACCTAGACAGTGTTTTAAAAAGCAGAGATATCGCTTTGCCAACAAAGGTCTGTATAGTCAAAGCTATGGTTTTTCCAGTAGTCAAGTACAGATGTGAGAGTTGGACCATAAAGAATACTGAGCGCTGAAGAACTCTTGCTTTTGAACTGTGGTGCTGGAGAAGAAGACTCTTGAGAGTCCCTTGGACTACAAGGAAATCAAACTAGTCAATCCTAAAAGAAATCAACCCTGAATATTAACTGGAAGGAATGATGCAGAAGCTGAATCTCCCATACTTTGGCAACCTGATGTGAAGAGCTGACTCAGAAAAGACCCTGATGCTGGGAAAGATTGAGGGCAAAAGGAGAAGAGGGTGGCAGAGAATGAGATGGTTAGATAGTGTCACTGATACAATGGACATGAGTTTGAGCAAACTGGAAAATGGTGGAGGACAGAGGAACCTGGCATGCTGTATGTAGTTCATGGGGTCACAGAGAGTTGGACATGACTTAGCGACTGAACATCATGGGGTTACTAGAAATACTCAGTTATGTAGTAAATATATGACACCGAGAGCAGCACCTGGTTTATGGAAAATGCTCAATAAGTGATGGTGGTAGGTGATGTAGCAATAGTTATCGTAGTAATAGTTACGTAGTGGTTGTTAACCATCATCACCATCATCATCTTTATATGTTCCTAGAATTATATTTAAGATAATTAAGATGTACCTCTCCCTATTTTTCATTGCTCAAATTTTAATTGTGCAAGAAATGGGCCAGAAGTTCACTAATTTGTACAACTTAATTATATACTCCGGTATTCAAACCTCCAGAAAGCTGCCTTATTAGGACTCTTTATTTCTATTCAATACTATGAACATATTGATAAGCATTTAAAACTTCAAGGGTTTTTTTTGTCATGATCATTTATTTCTATGTATTTCCTTTGCAAAGCTTATTATTTCTGTGTCCTGTTTGTTAGCTGAAAACCTATGGCTACTTTCCCCATGTGATCGCGCGGCTGTAGCTTTGAGCACCACTAGATGGCAGTAAACAGTGAACAATATTTTAACAAACATTTGTATTTGTACCTGTGAGTCAACACTGGGTGGCAGCACTTATCTATACCTTTCACCTTGTCTGTGTGCTTGAGGTGACACCTCTTTACCTGGGAAATGCCATGGACAGAGGAACCTTGTGGGCTACAGTCCATGGGGTCACAAAGAGTCAGACACGACTGAGCAACTTTCACTTCACTAATAATGTTTACTAATTGTATGATCTCAGCCTTATTTATTTCTCTGACCCTCAAAATGAAAGTGAAAGTCGCTCATTTGTGTCCGACTCTTTGCAACCCCATGGACTGCACATTCCTTGGAATTCTCCAGGCCAGAATACTGGAGTGGGTAGCCTTTCCCTACTCCAGGGGATCTTCCCAACCCAGAGATTGAACCCAGGTCTCCCATATTGCAGGCAGATTCTTCACCAGCTGAGCCACAAGGGAAGCCCCTGCTCAAAGGAATAATGCTATTTCCTGTTACCCTAGACAAGTTGTTATTCTTTTATTCTTCATGTGAAAAGTGGGCATGATAATCATCCCTACTTCATTCTTCATGTGAAAGGTTGGCATGATAATCATACCTACCTCACAGAATTTGGACTTAATTAAAGTGAGAAATTAAGTAAAATTAGCATGAGCACTGAGTACAGAACCTGGGGTACGTAAATGATAAATGTTAAACAATTATTATTATTACCTGAAATTTTTATGTCTTGCTAAATAAGAAAGGTTTACACATCACAAGTATGTGCAGAGCAAAATAGTAACATAGTGACTACTTTTATTCCTCAAATGGTTTTCTGTTTAATTTCTCTCTGGCCTCTAATTCTAGATCTTGTTCTCAAAATTAATTTGATGGCCTTTTAACTTCACCTAGCTTTTCAGAGCCTTGGACTAACACCATAACTTTACATGGTGTTCACCCTTGATCTCTAAGTATATTCTGCTTAAAGCAGGGCTAATCCATATAGCACCTTTGTGTGAGTTATGCAAAAGTACCCCTACGCATTAGCACTAACTATTGGGAAATGTTCTTCATATACTGATTTCATCAGAACAACGTATTTTATTGCTATGAGGGTGACAACACTGGCTCATAAGTTCTCTCATTTGAATCCTCATGCTAGCCTGGGCCTGCAGATTTCTATTGCTTTGGTTTTTCCCTTTTCAAAAAAATTGTAAATATTCTAAAAAAGGCTTTTAAAAGATAAGAGGTAACAGGGAGTTTCCTGATGACACAGTGGTTATGATTCTGGGCTTTCTCTGCTGTGGCCTGAGTTCAATCCCTGGTCAGGGAACGGAGATCCCACAAGCCGTGCAGCATGGCCAATAAATAGATACATCATACAGAAAAAAAATCAATAAGGTGATTGATAATATTATCTGTAAAAAGTCAGAGATAGCAAATGCTTACACTACAATTTCCAATACAAAAATGAGTTAAATCAATCATCCCCCCAAAATGATTTTAACTCTTTCTTCGGACAGGGGCACGTGGCGTATGTATTAACTCAGGAAACTGATGAATATTTGCTTTGGAATCCATTAACTGGACAGTGTCATAAGCAGTTTGACCCATTTTGTCCGTTACAAGGTGTAGATTGTTTGTTTGATGGTGAAAACGTAAGTGTATTGGGTGAGGGGGGAAGATCTTGAGTTCTGTCCTCAGGAGTCAAACTTGTGGCTCTCTACCCTGACTGTACATTAGAATCATGTGGAAACGCTGAGGAAACCGTAGATGTTCAGTTAGAATCCCTGGGGTGTGGGGCCAGGGAAATCTTCCGTCCCCAAAGCTCCTTGAGGTGATTCCGTAGCACCTCCAAGGCTGAGAACCAGTGAGCAGTCTAGTGTTCACATGCCCCTGGAATTCTCTGTGCCTCCTGCCTCAGAGCAGTCCTTGGCTTCTGCCACTTCACTGGGCAGTAAGACTGTAACCCCCTGTGGGCTTCGTACTCCCGTGGCCCGATGTTGATTCTCTGTTAATGTTTTAATAGGTCTGGTTTAATCTGCAGCAGAATAATTCACCAATGGCTGTGTATTTTGACTATTCAAAGGAAAGTTTCTGGAAACAGTTGCTTCCAAAAAATTATCAAGGAACAAACACACAAAGCATTCAGGTAAATCACACTTTTCCAGGTGTGTCTCTATGAAAGTTACCATTGGTTCTGACCTTAGAGTTGTGACAGCTCTTGTTACATTTATATAGCTGGTTGCTTATTTTTAGCAACATCAATAAAATCCAGTTTTCTCTGCCATCCAGCCTGACTTTAGGCTACTCTGATCCTTTTCCTCTACTTGCAAAAGAAGAATTGAGAAGAAGGCATCATCTTAATTGTGAATTTAGGTTTTAGAGTAAAATTTTTAAAGTATTCATCATGAAACAGAAAATATAGCGTCCAGATGGTGTAATAAGTTCTTACTTTGACCTTGCACTTCTACGACACATCCATGACAATAATAAAGTATAAAAATTGAAAAACAAAAGGCTTATCTGGGCTCTGAACCATGATGGGTATCTACTGGAATAGAAATAGGACAGAAACACCATTAGGGAGCAGGGCCCAAAGAGGATGGGAGCAAAGTCTAAAAGTGAGTCATGAAATTCAGGGAACCAGAGCCAGTCTCACTTTTTGAAGCCAGGACTATGATGGAGCTTCCCTGCCTTGCTCCTCTTGAGAGAAGATGAGAAAGCTAAGCTGCAGACCCATTACCTGGAGCTCAGGAGGTAAGAGACCAAAGTACAGATCAGAGCATCAGGAACCAATCTAACCACCAGACAACTTGGCCAGAGAATCTGTGGTGTGTTCAGCATCAGTTTGGGAAGACACCCAAATTCCATTTCAACAGCAGTTTCTGGATTGAGAGCCATGGTATGTCAATGTGCAGGCAATTGCAAAATTCGAAAACTGGGAGCTATGACCCAGAGGAAGAAAGAGGCGGGGGGATAAGAAAAAGAACAATGGAAAAATAGGAAGAAGACAATTCATAGAAGCAGAAACTCCAGAGTTCAACCTCACTTGTACTGAGGGAAATATAATTTAAAACAAACATGATTTTTACATGTATAAGATTAGGAAACTTTTTTTTAAGTGGGATGATATCAAATATTGGCAAACAGGCTGAGAAATAGTGGGAGTATAAATTGCTATAAACTCTTCGAAAATCAATATGGTAAGGTTGGTAAAGTTGAAAAAGCTCAACGTTTGACCCACCAATTCAACTTCTAAGTATGTACCCTAGCACAGAGAGATGAAAACAACAATGGTCGTTACTAAATTGCTTGAAATAGAAAAAAAAAAAAGAACACAATTTATCAACCAGAAAATGGGCACATAAGTTGTCAAGAACCCATACTATGAAATCTTATATGTGTGTATGTGTAAGTCGCTCAGTCATGTCCGACTCTTTGCGAACCCATACACTATAGCCCACCAGGCTCCTCTGTCCATGGAATTCTCCAGGCACGAATACTGGAGTGGGTTGCCATTCCTTTCTCCAGGGGATCTTCCTGACCCAGGGATCAAACCCAGGTCTCCTGCATTGCAGGCAGATTCTTTACTGTCTAAGCCACCAGGGAAGCCCAAAATCTTCCATACAGTAGTAAAAAAGAATATATGAAACTAATTTACTGTAGCTCTCAACTTGACTGTACATCCAAGACATCAGAATCTCTGTGTGAAGAGCCCACACGCTGGTGTTACTTAAAGTTCCCCAAGTGATTCCCACATGTAGCCACAGTTGAGAACCACTGACCTAGAGCCATTGTATCAACATGAGCGAATATAAAAAATGTAATGTTGACTAAAGTAAAGAAGATGTGAAATGACATATATATATGAAGTTTGAAAAATATGTGTTTATATATAGAGAGATATATAAGTGAAAATGCTGGTTGCTCAATTGTGTCCAACTGAGTTGTGACCCAATGGACTGTAGCCCTGCAGGCTCCTCTGTCCATGGATTTCTCCAGGCAAGAATACTGGAGTGGGTTGCCATTTCCTATTCCAGGTGGTCTTTCCAACCCACCTAGGTTAGGTTTCCAAACCACCTAGGTATCGAACTAGCATTTTCTGCTTGGCGGGCAGAAAGAATACCATCTAAACCATCAGAGAAGCCCATAGATAAATAGTGATAGTATAAAAGCTTGCATGAGAATGATAAACATCAAATTTAGGGTAAAGGTTACCTTTGGAGAGAGAAAAAAGGGGGATGAGATCAGGAAGCAGTATTTAGATTACTTTAAGTCTATCTGTAATGTTTTACATCTTTTTAAAAAATGTATTTATTTATTTGGCTGTGCATATGGGATCTAGTTCCCTGGCCAGGGATCGATCCCAGGCTCCCTGTATTGGGAAGGCAGAGTCTTAGCCACTGGATCACCAGGGAAATTCCTACATCTTTTTGAAAAATCTAAAAAAGTATGGATGCATACAAAGATTAGATATAGCTAGGTGGTATGTATGTTGGGTGGATGTTCATTACATTATTCTCAGTGCTTTATCTGTATGTCTGACATAGTTCACAATATCGAAAAGAAGGAATGGTGGTTGTGGGGGAAAGAAATCAAACAGTACCAAAGTATATAAAATGAAGGGTTTCTTCCCTCTTCAGCATTTTTTCCCCACTCTAAGAAATAGCCACAGTCAGTAGTTTCTTGTGTATCCTTCTAAACATTTTCCTTGCAGATGCAAGCATTTATATGTCTGTAAAGTCATTTTAAGTAAGGGGAAATGTGCTTATCTGTCTTGAGCAAGCCACATTTCCAGCACCCACACAATGCTTTGCTTGCTTATCCTAAAGTTGTGACCAAAGCATTTGGTTGCAGCCTCCTAGGGGGAGAACAGTGTATTCAGAGATGAGAATTTTTGTTTGTTTTAATCATTCTCTTATTAATTCTGGTAACACTTATTGAGTGCTGCAGTGGGTCAGCACTGTGTTAGGTATAGGTACCACAAGGAAAAAGAGTTTGATGTTGGGAAAGATTGAGGGCTAGAGGAGAAGGGGGCAACAGAGGATAAGGTAGTTGGATGACATCATCAACTCAACGGACATGAGTTTGAGCAGACTCCGGGAGATGGTGAAGGACAGGAAAGCCTGCCATGCTGCAGTCTACGGGGGTGCAAAGAGTTGGACACAACTGAGCAACTGAACAGCAAGCGTGTTCTTGGAGCTTGTGTTCTAGAGGAGGAAACAGAAGGAAGCAAGCACTTGGAGTAGAGAGAGATAAATACCACTAAGAAGACATGAATGTGCGTTGGGGAGCACACATCAGGAAACCTGAGGGGAAGGGGAGCTTCAGGGGCTTCCTGGGGAAAAAAAGTGATGACCAGCAGCAGAGTGAAGAGGGCTGAGCAGCAGGAGCTGGTCTAGATGAAGATTAATGACGAGAGTAGTCCCAGCACAAAGCAGAAATGGCAGGCTTGAAGACCAGCTGTGTGTGTGTTAGTCGCTTAGTCATGTCCGACTCTTTGCAACCCTATGGACTGTAGCCTGCCAGGCTCCTCTGTTAGTGGGATTCTCCAGGCAAGGATACTGGAGTGGGTTGCCATGACCTTCTCCAGGGGATCTTCCTGACCCAGGAATCGAACTCAGGTCTCCTGCACTGCAGGCAGATGAAGACCTGCAGGGCCAAGTGTCTGTCACAAAGCTGAAAGGCCAGCTTGGCTGCTACCAGGGGGTGAGCAGAAATGAGCTGAGGTCCTGGTCAGGATTTTGGCCTTTATTCTTTATTCAGCATCACCAAGGCAAGGGTTGCCGTAATCAAAATTGTATTTTTAAAAGCCACTCTGACTAAGAGTGGAAACTAAACCTTTTGTTAAGTTGAGTAATTAAACAGAAAACTCATAGTTGCATTTGACTTTTGTCTTTACTGATTTCTTCCCTGTGGGCCACTGGCCCTTGATCTTCTGCCTTGTCACACACATACCAGAATAAACCACCGTCTGTAGTGAATGCTGGTTTTTTTTTTTTCTGTTAATCACAATTGAGAACATAAATTTGAGTGTGTGTGAGAGAGAAATGGAGTTAACAGGGATATCTTCTTGAACTTCTAAAGGTTATGAATTCCCTGAAAGGGGCCTTTGCCCAAATGGGAAATAGACTAACACTCCATAAACGTATTGGGTCAACATAACCCAGGCCTCTTTTTCAGGCCTGAAGGTGGTCTAACTAATCCACCAGAGTTGCCAGGTTAGGAGCGCAGGGGAGTGTTTTGGAGGGGCAGACAGTAATTTGAGGACAGCAGCCGGGTTTTGGTTTACCTGCCCTGTCTGCAATAGTTGGTGACCTCTGCAAGATGATGCTGGGTTTTAGACTTCACTTTCTCCAGTATTTCATCTTCTGCCATGTTCTACTCTGGGCAAATTCACTGTGTCTGAGCACATTCTCTAATCTAGTGGTTCTACAACCATGGTAGGCATCATAACCCTTTGGAGGGCCTGTTAAAAAGCAATTTGCTAGGCTGTACCCTCAAGAGTTTCTGAGTCAGTAGGTCTGAGGCTGCTGACTCAGCAACATTTTGCTGAGCAGGGGGTGGTGTCACATTTTGGGAGCCACTGACTTAGATCAGGACATGATAGACTGAGCCTCCTCAAATCACCGCTGAAATTTTCTGAGACCTAGAGTCCTAGCAAAAGTTTCCTCCCTTACACTCATGAGGGGGAAGCACCTGTCCCTGTCTCTACAGAGGCTCTGTTTCTCAGCTCATAAATATTCAAAGTAAAGACTCTCTAAACCCAGTCCCACTCCTCCATTCTTGTCTATGTGAGCCCTGCAGGGAGTTTGGGTAGGAGGGAGGGGGTTGGAGAAGTCCACTCCTTGTCCCAGAAAATCCAGCTCAGCGGAGCAACATGGGGAAACACAGTAGAGCCTTGCTCTCTGCTGTTGCTGGGGTGCCTGAAGCAAAGACTTGAAGACAGCAGAGACTGAAATGGACTCTGCGTATATGCTTACATATGTGCACATGCACACCTGTGAACACGGAGAAAACTGGCTCCTGCCTGCTGAAAGAAACAAAGGAGGAGGATGATAAACCATGCTAGAAGACTAATAATAACAGTACTATCTGACCTTAGTTGGGCAATATGTGCCAGGCTTTACATGTATGACTTTATTTTAAAATCTTCGCATGACCCCAGGAAAGTAGATGCTCTTATTGTCCCTCTTTAGGGCTTCCCTGGTGGCTCAGAGGTTAAAGTGTCTGCCTGCAATGCAGGAGACCCGGGTTTGATCCCTGCGTCGGGAAGATCCCCTGGAGAAGGAAATGGCAACCCATTCCAGTATTCTTGCCTGGAGAATCCCATGGACAGAGGAGCCTGCTAGGCTACAGTCCACGGGGTCGCAAAGAGTTCGACACGACTGAGCGACTTCACGTTCACTTTAAAAGATGTGGTAACCGAGACTCAAAGCAGTTAAGTAATTTCTCCAAAGTCACAGTTAATAACCGGATGAAACCCATACAGCTTCCAGAGATTGTCTGATGGAATGAATAAGAATGCCAAGTTCTTATTTGAATAAACAAACAGCAGATCTGTCTCATGAGGAATATCTTTCGTAAATCCATTTCCCCTCCCTGCACTGGTGAAGTAGTATTAAAATCAAAGGAAACGCTGTGATCTGTGTTAGCTCTGTGCTCCTATTATTGAGTGTTTCTGCCACATGAGAGGTTTAGGTTGCCCCCTCCATTATGATCAGCACTCCAAGGGGTGACTGATATCAAGATGGCCTCCCTAGAACCTCTTCTCACTTTCAGTTTTCTGTATTTCAGCCTGAAGAAATAATTTATTCTGATACTAATAAGAGCATGGTAGAAGATCTAAAGAACAGGTATGATCTCTATTTATATGCTATGATTATCATGTTTTCTCCCTAATCTCCCATTCAGCCACCCTTCAGTCCTGTAACGCAGTCTCTCAAAGATACCTATTAGACTCAGCAACAGAAGCATGAAATGTAGATTTAATAGTTACTTCCATTGAGTCGTCTGGCTCTTGGCCCTTGCATAAAAAAATCAGCCCCTCTGCTACCCACAATACTCCTTGAAAAAACATGCCAAATTAAATATAGTTGCATCTGGACAACATTGTGGGCTGCTATTGGGAAGTTCTCAACACAGACACCTGTTTAGCCTTATAGTAATAATCAATAACTAACACTTCTTGACGGAGAAGGCAATGGCACCCCACTCCAGTACTCTTGCCTGGAACATCCCACGGACGGAGAAGCCTGGTAGGCTGCAGTCCATGGGGTCGCAAAGAGTCGGACAAGACTGAGCGACTTCACTTTCACTTTTCACTCTCATGCACTGGAGAAGGAAATGGCAACCCACTCCAGTGTTCTTGCCTGGAGAATCCCAGAGACGGCATAGCCTGGTGGGCTGCCGTCTATGGGGTCACACAGAGTCAGACATGACTGAAATGACTTAGCAGTAGCAGCAGCAACACTTCTTGAAGAACAGTAGGGGTGTGGTAAAAACATCCGAACTGGGTAGTAGAAATACCAGTACTGTCCTTGGTAGCCACCCTCATCCACATAGTCCACACACGCACACCCTGAAGAGTTGCTCAGTCAAGCCCAAAATGTCACAGCCTTTGCAGCAGACCTTGCTCCTACTCCAGATATGTCAGAAGCTTCTAGATCTGACTACTTCCAGTGACTCACGCTGACACAGCAGGCTGGCATGTAAGCTGCTCCCAACTAATCAAAACAGAAAAGGACAAATAGCATTTTGCCACTCCCTCTTCTCACTAGCACATGACCCCCACCTCTTACTCCCCTACTTCTTCCCCACCTCTTAACAACAACAACAAAAAAAAGCAATGCACTAGGAAAATGGTCTCCAACTTTTAGTTTTCATCAGAATTGCTTCTGGAACTAAATATAGGTGCCAGAGTCCAGGATCAGACCTGTTGAGCCACTATCTGGAGGGTAGTGAAGTATTTTGATAGAACAGGTGATTTTCAGGATCAGACCTGTTGAGCCACTATCTGGAGGGTAGTGAAGTATTTCGAGTCCTACAGGTGATTCTGGTGTGTAGCCATCACTGAGACTCTGCAAACTCAAAACCACTTACTTACTTTATTAGACTCAGCCAAAAGGAGAGGCCCAGCACACAATAATCCTCTGCAGAGGAAAGGCTTCCCACCAACCAGCTCACACTGGACTCCACTTTCTCCCTCCCCGGAACAGTTCCTCAGCAGGCACTGCTTCAGAGGCAGGGTAGGTAGGTGAAACTCCCTGCCTGCGTAAAGCATACATTTGGGGGAATGATCAGATCGGGGGAAACTGATCATCATACTGATCAATCCAGTGTCTCATTTCCTCCCAATTCCACTTGCTGGATTAACTGATTTAATAACCCCATTCCTGCTAACATTACCCCAGACAAGATACCTGGATTTTTATAAAGGCATTTCTTGGAAATACGATGTCTTATGTCAGAAGAGGGTCTTGGAGAACAGGAATGTCAACCCAGTAATCAGATGGTAGCAAATCACACCTAGTAGGTAGCTGTCTACACACAGGGAACTGGAAGAAAGAAGTGCCTTTGAGAACTAATTGCTAGCTACCCCAGGAAGCATCTTGCTTCCTCAAGCCAAGCAAGAGCCTGATCTTTCCCAAAGCAGATTAATGTGGTTGATGACAGATATCCCTCACCATGGTGGTCTGGTTTTCTCCTAGATCAAAAATGTATTATTTTTCAAATTGTGAATGACTGTATATTTTAAACATTTATTTAATTTATTTGGCTGTGTGGGGTCCTAGATGCAGCATGAGTTGGGTCATGCAGGATCTTTGGTTGCAGCGCATGGCCTCTCGAGTTGTAGCACACGGGCTCCAGTGCTCTTGGGCAGTTTACTCAGTGGGGGATCTTAGTTCCTTGACCAGGGATTGAACCTACATCCCTTGCATTACAAGGTAGATTCTTAATCACTGGACCACCAGGGAAGTCCCCGCAAAGTATCATTCTCATACTTGAGTAAATGTGACAAAACTTTTTTTCACATTTATTAAATGATTTGTAATTTATCATAAAATGATCTTTGCATTCTTACCTTAGGATTGAAAGAACTCTGAAGTGTAAAATAATGGAATGGCGGCCTAAACAGCCAACACGTTGGAATAGACAGTGTACTTTCATTTTACGACAGATTCTTCCTAAGTTAGAACTTGGTACTGCAAGCTTTGTTTCATCTGAAGAAGAGAGTGAATTTGAAAGACTACTACAATTTTATTGGGTTTGTATATGATTTAATACATTAACGACATTTGTTTTATCTTTGATGTTAACTGCCAGATGATAGTAATCTTAAAAATCCCTGAGATATCTTTTATCTTGATCTCATGTTATACGTGCTATGTCATTAAAATCCACTTATGTTTAGACTGAGACTTTTCAAAAGTAGTGAATAACTAGTACTGTGACCAGATTGCATGACATTTTCTTGGAATCAGTTTTATGATACACAAACCATAAACTTTGGAAAGAGATGCCCAAAAGGAAATGACTTGCAACTAAGAAACTAAGAAATGATCTCTAGATGGTAGTAATAGGATGGATTCCCTGTCCTTGGTTCTGGGCAAGAGGACTTCAGGCAAGCTTTAATATCTTCCATATGCAAATTATTCTCAAATTTATACATCATAGCCTGGACTTTTGTTTTAACCTCCTCTCGTATATTCACCAGCACATTTGACATCATCCTGGATGGTAAAAAGGCCTGTCAAACTCAAGTCCATAATCAAACATGGCAGGCATTTTGGTGTATTTTAAAGTCCTTCTTTTCTTCCCCTGCCAGTATCCTGAGTTCTGAGAATCCTCTCTCCTCCTCTTGCCTATGAATTGTTGCAGTAGTTTTTGGAAGCCCCAGCCTCCCAAGAGTGATATTCCTTCCCCCTTCCATCCTGGAGATCAGAAAATGTCCCCTAGAGAAAGCCTTGGAAAGAGGAAGGGAAGCTATCTGTTGGAAGTTGCTACTTAGGCTGCCAGGGAGGCATCTGCAGGCACTATTCATGAATAGGGAGGTAGTTGTTTTGTTTTGCTTTCTTTTTAGTTGAATTAGGGGGTAAGTAGATAAGCAAAGTATTGTTAAGTATAAGCCAAGGTTTTAAACTTAGAGTTCCTTTGTAAAATTATCTGCTGTTTAATAACACAGATTCATAAATCTAGACTGAATCCTGCGGCTTGGGTTCAAATCCTGCCTCGACCATTCACTAACTTTGACCAAATTACCCAACTTCTCTATACGTTCTTACCCCATTGCCCAAGATAAACAAGGATAAAAATAGTTAGCTATTTTGTGGTTGTGGTGAGGATTAAGTGAGTTGCTTAACCATAGCACCCAACACTTACTAAATGTTAACTATTATTTGTATTCCAGTGTAATTTATTAAGTAAACTAGGGAAGGATAGTGTACTATACACTCACAAGGGAAGAGCACATGAAGAGATTTAAAGAGCAGAGAAGTAAACAATCTGAGACTTGAAAGCAGCTTATGATTGTCCTTTGCAAATTCTTTAATAGATAATTTTACATGAGACCCATGTCTCATGTCCTTTAATCCTGTCATCGGAGGAAATGAAAGTGAAAGTCCCTCAGTCATGTCCAGCACTTTGCCACCCCATGGACTATACAGTCCCTGGAATTCTCCAGTCCAGGATACTGGACTGGGTAGCTATTCCCTTGTCCAGGGGATCTTCCCAACCCAGGAATCAAACCCAGGTCTCCCGCATTGTGGGAGGATTCTTTACCAGCTGAGCCACCAGGGAAGCCCAATCCTGTTAGGCTGCTGCTGCTGCTGCTAAGTCGCTTCAGTCGTGTCTGACCCTGTGCGACCCCACAGACGGCAGCCCACCAGGCTCCCCCGTCCCTGGGATTCTCCAGGCAAGAACACTGGAGTGGGTTGCCATTTCCTTCTCCAATGCATGAAAGTGAAAAGGGAAAGTGAAGTGACTCAGTCGTGTCCGACTCCTAGCGACCCCATGGACCGCAGCCTACCAGGCTCCTCCGTCCATGGGATTTTCCAGGCAAGAGTACTGGAGTGGGGTGCCATTGCCTTCTCCACCAATCCTGTCATAGATATCAATAAATATAAACTAAATCAATGTGAAATAAATTCTTCCAAAATGCTCTTTTAAATCATTTATATGACCAATAAGTTTCCTTTTTGGCAGGTTGCCATTGCAGAAAAAGTGCAAGTATGTGGAATGTTAAATGTGTAGGCTCTGGCATTAGACAGACCTGGCTCTGCTCCTCTCTTTATAAAGTGGGGTTATAGCAAAACCTGCCTCAAAGGGTTGTTTGAGGATTAATTAAAATGTGAAGTATTTAGCACTGTGCCTAGAACATAGTACATGCTCAGTCACTTCAGTTGTGTCTGACTCTGTGTGACCCTATGAACTGGAGCCACCCCTCTGCATGGGATCCTCCAAGACAAGAGCATTGGAGTGGGTTGCCATGCCCTCCTCCGAGGGATTTTCCCGGCCCAGGTATCGAACCCATGGTGTCTCCTGCATCTTCTGCATCACAGACAAATTCTTTACCACTGAGCCAACCAGGAGGTCCCCTAGAACTTGGTAAACACCCATAAAATGATAATTATTATTATTATTTTATGACTTCCATTTCTTTGAGGCTTCTGTAATCTTTTCATACAGTAATTCCCAACCACCTACATGATTGTAATGTGGGTTTATGTATTATTGTCTTTGGTCCAGGTCACAGGATTTCCTATCCAGATGCCATACACTGATGTCCAGTCAGTTATTGACGCTGTGTATCAAACTGGAATTCATTCTTCTGAATTTCCACAGACAGAATTTGCTCTAGCTGTGTACATTCACCCCTACCCAAACAACATATTATCTGTGTGGGTCTATTTGGCTTCATTAGCTCGACATCAGTGAAAAGGAAAAAGATAGAAGGAGAAGATGGTACATGGGCCCCCAACCAAAACACAGACTTTTCTGGTACTTGGGATTTTTCTGTTTATCCTCAAGTCCAGACAAGCATGAGCCCAATTTTTGGCTCACTTATAGAGTAAGGCACAAGACTCACTGCCTGAGTTTCTGGGGACAAGTATAAATGACCTCCTCATCAGAGGCCTCATCAAGGAGGACCCTTCGGAAAGTCTGGTGCCTGGGATCACTGTCTACAGTAGGTTTTATTCTAGGAAAGAAGCAATTCTGGCCTCTCTCCACAGCCAGTGTTGCTCTAATTGGGGGCCCCCATCACCTCCATCAAAATCACTTGGAAAGCCCTATTGAAAATACAGGTTCCCACATCCCATCCAGGACCTACTGAATCAGGATCTCTGAGAGTACAGCTCCAGAACCTACATTATTTTAAAAAAAAAGCTTCCCAGGCAATTCTCTTAACCAGTTAAGAATGAGAACCCTGCCTTACAGAATGCTGTCATTACTAACGTGAGGCTGATAACTTTGATGATGGTTCTGATGGAATTCCAGGCAGGAGTTATTCAAATAGAAACCCATGAGATAAAAGATTATTTCACTGAAGAATAAGAAGGAAACATGCCATTTTGGGTTAAGGACAGCTTCTGTGGGCTTCTTAAAAGTTTTCTCTTTAGATACTACTGACCTAAAGTCATTTCACCTCCAAGTATTTAGAAGGGACTCTCAGGAAACACTACCTAAATTTTTTCCTAATTCTGTGAGAAAGGGAGATATATGTCTTACCTGAATCTCAGAGGCCTCTTTATCTTAATGAGCAGCTCCCCATTCTGCCTCTGGCACTTTCTGCTGCTTTTCTTTCACAATGGTGCCCCAAGGAGACCCATCCAGGGCCTCAAGAAAGAGTGGGTAGGGATCTAAGTAGAAAATACTGTACTTTATTATATTTGATTGTTCTGTACTTCATTGAGCAAAGTGTTCAAATAGTTTATTTAAATGTTACATAACAACTTATTTTTTAATCAAAGGATAGATTTCCAAAGGTTTATGAGAGCAATTTTATATGAGGTTAAAGTAAGAAAAAGAAGATTCACTTCTACCACTGTAGTAGCACTGGGGTTCCTTGAATCACTCCCAGAGAAGCAGAGAGCAAAAACCCCAAATTCATCCTCAGGGAACCCTCAGCCTACATCCCCTCTCCCAATATACCTGCAGAGGCCAGAGAAGACCTTATTTATTTGCAGGATGTTAGTCTCAGACCAAACTCAAGATTACTAGAAAGAAAGGGTATGTAGGTAAAGAGAATGTTTTTTCTGCAGGGTTAAAACTTTGTTATATATGTCTTCTGTCATGCATCAGAAAAATGATCAGAATTGTTTTTATTTGAATGTTTTTAAACATTATTAACATTCATTAAACATATAAACATTCATTATTTGAATGTTGTGTTTAAATGCTATAGGAGGCTTTGTTATTAACAAGTTTCCCACATCAATTGGGGTAGCACAAAATGATATCTGTGGAAAGACAAGTTTGCCAAATAAAGGCTGAACTCATACAATTCATTTCTGTGCCATACTGAATGTTTACATAGCTATTTTGTTCATTTTGTTTGTACCTTTAGAATTGATGGGTCACTTAAGAGTAAGGTGGAAAATGTTCATAGGCAAGTGTGCATTATATTCTGTATCATATTCATTTTTAAATGTGTATGTATTTCTCATCTAAAAATTTTTTCTAAAAATTGTATGATTGTAATGAACTTTTTTTATTTGACTGTTTTAAAAGTACATGATATTAGATGTAGTGTATAATTTTAAAATTTTTCGTTGTTCAGTCACTGTTGTGTCTGACTCTTTGCAACCTCATCCACAAATAATTACAAAGAATCCATTATGTACCAGACACGACCATGTTTTTTCATTTGACTGTTTTAAAAGTACATGATATTAGATGTAGTGTATAATTTTAAAATTTTTCGTTGTTCAGTCACTGTTGTGTCTGACTCTTTGCAACCTCATCCACAAATAATTACAAAGCATCCATTATGTACCAGACACTTCAGTATGTGCTAGAGGACAGTGTGAAGACATTCTTACAAGAAAAACAGATCAAAAGCAAATAAACGGTAAGTAGGTGAGATAATTCCAGGGTATAATGAGCGCTATAAAGGAAACAAAAAATGTTGGCGTAATGGAGAAGGACTCTGATGGGGATGGAAGGTATAAGCAGAGTAGTGGGAGAAAGCCTCTCCACAGAGATAAAGTTTTGAGCTGAGATTTAAAAGATGATTTATCAATTAGAATTGCATTCAGTTGCAAGGAACAGAAACCTAATCACAGTAACATAATCCAGTAGGGATTACAGAACTGTCAAGTGCAGAGGAGGCAGTCCAATTCTAGTGCAATAGCTCTGTGATGTCAGAAGTACATTAGCCTTCATCCATCTTTGTCACCACCTCTAAGGAACCTTCTGTCTTCTTCCTCAGTGGCTCTCAAACTTCAGCATGCATAAGAATCACCTGAAGAGTTTGTTGAAACACACTTCACTGGGCCTGACCTTTAGAGTTACTGATTCCATGAGATCTGGGGTGGGGCCTGAGAATTTGCATTTGTAACAAGTTCCCAGGTGATACGGAGACTGCTGACCCGGGGACCACAGAGGCTCTAACCTTACAGTCATTTTCATTAAGAAAACGCTGACAGGGAGGGAGGAGGTAGAAGAGGCAGGTGGTTTAGCTCTTTTAAAAAGTTTTCTAGGAGACTATGCCCATTAACTTCTACTTACATCCCACTGGCCAGAATTACATCACTCCTAGACACAAGAGACTGGAGATCAAGTATTTTAAATAGACAATTGCTCTCCCAATAAAATCAGTGTTCTCTTGGTGAGGAAGAGGGGAGGATGGATATTGTATTAGGCATCTGTGGCTTCCATAGTTAAGAGGAAGCCAATCATGCAAAGACTTTTAGCAAAAGCATTTCAGGCAGAGGAGACCTATGATTACAAAGCCCTCCAGTCCAGAAAGAGACTCACATGGAGAAGAAGGAGTAGTAGCCCATAAGATTGGAGAGGCAGACAAGAACCAGATCACACAGGTCATGGTAAAGAGTTCATATTTTATTCAAAGTGCAATAACAAATCAATCAAGTAACATAATAAAGTAGTAGTTTTTCTTTTTTATATTTGAGAGTATAAGCCCCATTCAGATGCAGTGCCAGGTCCCAGCTCTGTTTTCCACACCTCTGTTTTCCACAACTGCCCACTCGTCTTAGTACAGCAGCCTTTGCCCTGGTGGGAAGTTGCAGTAGGGGTAGAGGTGCCAGAGTGGGCGCTTGGCATGCTAGGGTGGTCATGAGAAACTGACCAGGGTCCTGGATAGTTTCAATCTGCCTCCTTCACCATTTCCAGTAGTAAACAGCATGTGTGCACTTTTCTCAAGCAGAGTCTAGGTTTCTTAAAGCCCTCCTGTTAGTCCACTGGTTTTCAAACCATCTAAGGGGACTCTTCCTGGTGTCAGAGCAAAGACTGGGATGTCCATTATGTGGTTCAATCTGTTTCCTCCACAGGGAAGCGCTCTCTCTGAGAGGTCCCCTCCTAGAGGGACAGATCCTGATTCTCTTCACTTCTCTCCACGTCTTACCTAACTTAGTATGGACCCTTCTTTACAACCTTGGTTGTATAAGAGACTTTCTGATACTCTTCAGGTGTTTTCAGTGAGATTGCTCCACGTGTCAATGTATTTTCAATGTGTACATAAGGGGACGTGAGCTCTTTGTCCTTCTATTCCACCATCTTAACCTCAGGCCACCTTGATATGCTTTCAATTTAAAACCTTTACACCTGGATAATGATCAGAGTACATCATGAGAAACACTGGGCTGGAAGAAGCACAAACTGGAATGAAGATTGCCGGGAGAAATATCAATAACCTCAGATATGCAGATGACACCACCCTTATGGCAGAAAGTGAAGAAGAACTAAAGAGCCTCTTGATGAAAGTGAAAGATGAGAGTGAAAAAGTTGACTTAAAGCTCAACATTCAGAAAACTAAGATCATGGCATCCAGTCCCATCACTTCATGGCAAATAGATGGGGAAACAGTGGACACAATGGCTGACTTTATTTGGGGGGGGGGGCTCCAAAATCACTGCAGATGGTGACTGCAGCCATGAAATTAAAAGATGCTTACTCCTTGGAAGGAAAGTTACGACCAACCTAGACAGCATATTAAAAAGCAGTGTCATTACTTTGTCAACAAAGGTCCGTCTAGTCAAAGCTATGGTTTTTCCAGTAGTCATGTATGGATATGAGAGTTGGACTATAAAGAAAGCTGAGTACCAAAGAATTGGTGCTTTTGAACTGTGGTGCTGGGGAAGACTCTTGAGAGTTCCTTGGACTGCAAGGAGATCCAACCAGTCCATCCTAAAGGAGATCAGTCCTGGGTGTTCATTGGAAGGACTGATGTTGAAGCTGAAACCGCAATACTTTGGCCACCTGATGCAAAGAGCTTACTCATTTGAAAAGACCCTGATGCTGGGAGAGATTGAGGGCAGGAGGAGAAGGGGACAACAGAGGATGAGATGACTGGATGGCATCACTGACTCAATGGACATGAGTTTGGGTAAGCTCCGGGAGTTGGTGATGGACAGGGAGGCCTGGCGTGCTGTGGTTTATCGCGTCACAAAGAGTCGGATATGACTGAGTGACTGAACTGAACTGAACTGAATGATCAGAGCTTTATGGGGAGCGTTGGGCCTCTTTCATTGTAGAGGACTCTGCAGAATGTCAAGTAACAGTGGCCTGCCACAGGGGCAGGGGCGCTGGGTGCAGCAGACCTGGGTATGGCATAAGCCCTCATGAATGAGGTTGCCATTAACCCCACCACAGAGCCACCAGAACTTACACAAGACTAGGGAAACAGACTCTTGGAGGGCACAAACAAAACCTTGTGTACACCAGGACCCAGGAGAAAGGAGCAGTGACCCCACAAG